TAAGAGCAACCTCCCTTGCAAAGTGAACAGTCTATTTGCCTTTAGTAAATCAGACCCATGTTGTGTTATACTCTCCTTTGCTATTATGACTGTTGTTTTTACTGCTTCTTCCCAGGGGCGGACTGATCATTTGGAAAACTCGGGCACTGCCTGAGGGCCCGGGGTCAGTAGGGGGCCCCATGAGATGCCCCTGGTACCTTTTTCATAGGCTTTTTTGAGTTTTGGCAAGGACACAGGGGCCCCATGATCCCCTATTGCCCGGGGGCCCCATTAGTTGTCAGTCCGCCCCTGCTTCTTCCCTGTCCAACAACTCTAAGTTGTAATGATGTTCTCGATGCACTGCCCAGCACAATTGAATGTCATGATACATCTGTTTGCCAGGTCAATACATGATAGTATGTTTTGGAGTAAACATATATGTATTTTATTTGTGTATTTAGGTGTTTTTATGGTATTTCCCTGCTAAAAACATTCATATTAGGTCTTTCCATACCTACTAGGTCTTTCCATGTTGCCTTAGATTGTCTGACCTTCTTAATGTATTCAGAGGATGTTCTGAGGGTGATCAGATAATAGGCTCATACGGTCCAAGCAAAGGCCATGTATACATTTCCAGACAAATTCAATCAATAACAGGGAAAATGTATACAAATATACAGTATATATACTTTATATACGATCTCTCTCTTTTTGTGTGTGTGTATATACTGCCAAAAGTATTGGGACACCCCTCCAAATCATTGGTTTCAGGTGTTCCAATCACCTCCATGGCCACAGGTGTATAAAATCAAACACCTAGGCATGCAGACTGCTTCTACAAACTTTTGTGAAAGAATGGGTCACTCTCTGGAGCTCAGTGAATTCAAGCATGGCAACGTGATAGGTTGCCACTTGTGCAATAAGTCCATCATTGAAATTTACTTGCTACTAAATATTCCACGGTCAACTGTTAGTGGTATTATAACAAAGTGGAAGGAACTGGGAACAGCAGCAACTCAACCATGAAGTGATAGGCCACATAAAAACAGAGCAGGGTCAGTGCATGCTGAAGCACACAGTGCGCTGAAGTCACCGACTGTCTGCAGAGTCAATAGCTACAGACCTCCAAACTTCGTGTGGCCTTCAGATTAGCACAACAACAGTGCGTAGAGAGCTTCATGGAATGGGATTCCATGGCCAAGATGCTGCATCCAAGCCTTACAACACCAAGTGCAATCACCAAGTGCAATGCAAAGTGTCAGATGCAGTGATGTAAAGCACGCTGCCACTGGACTCTAGAGCACTGGAGATGTGTTCTCTGGAGTGATGAATCATGCTTCTCTGTCTGGCAATCCGATGGACATGTCTGGGCCAGGAGAAGGATATTTACCTGACTGCACTGTGCCAAGTGTAAAGTTTGGTGGAGGGTGGGATTATGGTGTGGGGTTGTCTTTCAAGGGTTGGGCTTGGCCCCTTAGTTCCAGTGAGGGAACTCTTAAGCCGTCAGCATACCAAGACATGTTGGACAATTTCATGCTCCCAACTTTGTGGGAACAGTTTGGGGATGGCCCCTTCCTGTTCCAACATGACTGTGCACCAGTTCACAAAGAAAGGTAGATAAAGACATGGTTGAGTGAGTTTGGGGTGGAGGAACTTGACTGGCCTGCACAGAGTACTGACCTCAACCCGAGCAGAGACTGCAAGCCAAAACTTCTCGTCCAACATCAGTGCCCGAGCTCACAAATGGGCTTCTGGAAGAATGGTCAAACATTTCCATAGAAACACTCCTAAACCTTGTGGACAGCCTTCCCAGAAGAGTTGAAGCTGTTATACAGTAGCTGCAAAATATTCAATATTGAATCCTACTGACTAAGACTGGGATGCCATTAAATTTCATGTGTGTGTAAAGGCAGGTGTCCCAATACTTTTGGCAATACAGCGTATGTATGTATATATATATATATATATATATATATATATATATATATATATATATAAAATGACATCACTGTTGGTATAATTATAGGTGGAGTGAAACAATACCATCAGACTGACTGTGTCCATAGCCTCTTTGGGAATCTTTGGCTTTATTTATAGTCTTCTAGGTGGGAGTCTATGCAAAACTTGTGCATATCTTGACAATATTGTCACATTTATGTAAATAAATTGATAATTTCTTCAACAGACTGACTTCTAATGAAGGAAAGGTTAATATGAACATGCCTGATGGAGCATTTGTCTTCAATAGGAAACACCTTGTTTATGGTCTATGAAGAAATTCTTTAAATATATGATAAGATGTTAAAGTTTATTTACATGGGACTGACCCAGACCTATACAGAGGGCATTGAAGAAATGTGCTCATTTGCACTATAGATGGTCCGTCCAATGGGTATATGCCCCCTCCCCCTCCCCTCTATTAAGAAAATGTCTTTCACTGATTACACTGCTTGTAATATGATTTGTGAATGGGGGGAGAGTGTTATCAATCACACAATTCTCTCCCAGTTCACAGATTGTGTCACAGGCAGTGTAATTAGTGAAAGAGAAGGTAGGAGGGGGGGTCATCTTTAGTGCAGCTGAGCCAGAGTATCAGAGCTGTTAACCCACACAGTGCTGGTGGTTCAGCAACAGAGAGAGGAAAGGGCATCCAACAGTAAAAGATTTCTACAGGATCCAGCAGCCTGCACATCACGTGACTGTACCTCACTACAGGTAAGTAATTCAAGTAACATTGTAAAGAAATAAAAAAATTTTTTTTAGCTAAACTGCAGCTTTAATATTTTTTTTATTTGCATTATAATGCAGTTGTGTAATTTAGCCTTTGTGTCTGCATTTATGTCTCTACGTACTATATAATTTTTTAGATGCAACTATTGTATTTTTTTCTTTTACCAATGACCACATTAGAACTTACAGGAGAATGTTATTGTTGTTTAATATTCATATTTTATGTGTGTGTTATCATGAATAATTTCTAAAACAAGCAACCACCTAAACCACCTTATTGCTCTCTATTCAATTTTTTAATGGCAACACGCAGCATAACAATTATCTTCGCATTCTGTTTTGGGCTACTGGAAAATATACAGTAATTTCTACAGCATATATCTCCATGGAACAAAAAGGAAAAGTTAAACTGATTGTAAACCCTCACTTTGTAAAACAACCAATTCAGTTTAAAATAGAAATGGAAGGCAAAACATTTGTGTATAGATATAAAAACACTATATACACCTTTTTTCCCCCTTTTTTTATAAGTGATCACATAACCTCTGTTCTCAGGTGCATAAGAGCTGGGGGAAGAGAAACAGCAATACACTGATCTTCTCAATGAATGACTGTGCAGATGGTGTCAAGGGGCACAAGTCTGATCACTTGAGGAGAACATGCTAGTACATGGCTTGAGAATGGACCATGGTATGTTCTCATGCCTAGTGTAGTCATTTTTTAATAGGAAAGCAGAGGGACTGGCAGGAACACCAGGGGTTTTACACAAAGGAAGCAATACAAAGAAAACAGGAAATTTTTTCATGGTACATTTTTACATGGTACAGCAGACACATATCAGAAATATGAAATCCTGGGTTTACATAGTTTTTAAACCACTTGCCGCCTGGCCTATGGTCAAATGACAGCCGAGCAAACACTTCGTCCCTCCGGGAGGGCGTCATATGACGTCCTTCCCGGATCACGCTTTGCTCATGCCCGCAGGGCCGCGCTGTGGTGAGATCTGTCACTGCCCGTGTACCCTGTTGCCAGTGCCATGTGACCTGCTGTGACTATCACAGCAGGTCACATGACAGTTCTATACAATGGGCTTCCTTTCATGCCATCCCTTGTATACAACTGTGTGTAGCAGTGAATGGTCACAGCGATCACATGCACAGGCTGGGTAAATCACAGCCCATCTGTGTGATGTGATTATCCGTGGACAATCACAGCTAATAACAACAAAAAAAACCCTGAATGAATCGATTTCTTTCAGTTAAATGCTTGCTTATAGCAAAGAAATAATTTGCTATAAGCAATCAAATTCTGTAAAAAAAAAATAAAATACTGATCGCTTCTCCAAAGTAGTACAATGTTACTATGGTAACATTATACTACTTTGGTCATAGTACAATATGAAAAAAAAATCTTAAAAATAGTGTCACTGTGACTGATCACCGACCACACCAGTTATATGCTGATGCTGTACTGCATTGGTGACAGTATGTAAAAAAAAAAATTGTGAAAATAATTTTTTAATTTCTTCATTTTCCAAAAAATTATGACAAAAAAATGACTTAAAAAAAAAGCCATGCCTCTTATGAAATACATCGGACTGTCTACTTTGCTAAAAGGGGTCATTTGGTGGATATCTGCGCTGTTCTGGCATTTTTGGCCTCAAGAAATTAGATTGGCTGTCAGTGCTTCAGGATTGATCCATGGATTCAGATATATCCCATAATTTGTGAACTCTATAACTTTCCTACAGACTAAATAATAAATACTGAATTGGGTTATTTTTCACCAAAGAAATGTAGCAGAATACATATTGGCCTAAATTTATGAGGAACAATTATTTATTTGCAAACGTTTATAACAGAAACAAAGAAAACCGTGTTTGTTTTTCAAAATGTTCGGTATTTTTTGTTAATTTAGCAAACAATAAAAACCCCAGTGGTGGTTAAATACCACCAAAAGAAATCTCTAGTTGTGTGAATAATAGTTTGGGTACAGTGTTGCATGACCACGCAATTGTCATTCAAAGTGTGAGAGCGCTGAAAACTGAAAAGTGTCCCATATTGAAATGGTTAAAGTGTATTTAACCTCCCTGGAGGTATTCCCGAGTGTAGCTCGGGGTAAAGTTTCAGTACCACAAGCGGTAACCCCGAGCTACACTCGAGCTTACCATGCGGCGCTGCTCCAGGCTCCCTCGATTGTCATCTGTCTTCTGGGTTCCATCCCCTGCGAGCATCGGGAAGTACGGGGACGGAACGGCGGGAAAATTGAAAATGACAAAAAGTGACATTCACTAAAATCACTAAAATCACATAGTAAAACATTACTGTATCAAACCATTTCACATACATATTGTCCCTAGTGCTTTGTCCTGTGCCCTGCCTGCATTTTTACTGTTCTTTCTGCCTGGAAACTGAGAAACGTCCATGGTGTCCAAAAAGTGTCCCTTTAGGTCAAAATCGGTTTTAGACCAGCTAGAGAACAGTGATAGTAAATTAGAACCACTTGCAGAATTGAGTGATAATGATTCGTGGGGAAATTCGTCATCAGACACTGAAAACAATTTTGCGACTTTGCTCAGGGATGTGCGAACTTGGCGCTATATTTCAAATTTCAGTGTTTTTGGTTTGATTATATTATTGAATTAAATTTATTATTATATTATTATTTTTTATGATTATTTATTAAATTATAATTTATTATTTCGTGTTTCAAGTTTTATCATATCCGGAATGTTTACTAGACTCTTGTTCGTACAGATTTCAGTGAGTTATTCCTAAAAATTACAGACCTACAATAAAAAAAAAAACATATTTCCATGCAAAAAAAATGTAGCGCTTTGAGCACAGAAATATGGACATAATCATACCGCTAAAAAAAATCACTAAAATCACTAAAATCACATAGTAAAACATTACTGTATCAAACCATTTCACATACATATTGTCCCTAGTGCTTTGTCCTGTGCCCTGCCTGCATTTTTACTGTTCTTTCTGCCTGGAAACTGAGAAACGTCCATGGTGTCCAAAAAGTGTCCCTTTAGGTCAAAATCGGTTTTAGACCAGCTAGAGAACAGTGATAGTAAATTAGAACCACTTGCAGAATTGAGTGATAATGATTCGTGGGGAAATTCGTCATCAGACACTGAAAACAATTTTGCGACTTTGCTCAGGGATGTGCGAACTTGGCGCTATATTTCAAATTTCAGTGTTTTTGGTTTGATTATATTATTGAATTAAATTTATTATTATATTATTATTTTTTTATGATTATTTATTAAATTATAATTTATTATTTCGTGTTTCAAGTTTTATCATATCCGGAATGTTTACTAGACTCTTGTTCGTACAGATTTCAGTGAGTTATTCCTAAAAATTACAGACCTACAATAAAAAAAAAAAACATATTTCCATGCAAAAAAATGTAGCGCTTTGAGCACAGAAATATGGACATAATCATACCGCTAGGGAGGTTAACACCCAAACTTTTTTTTTTTTTATTTATTTAGTTTAAATGCTTTACATGTACATACTGTGTCTCACCACAGGTAAGTAATGTAAGTAACTTAGTAACAGGTAAGTAATGCTAAACTGCAGCTTCAATAATTTTTTAAACTTATATTAAAATGAAGTTGTGTAATTTAGCAGTTGTGTCTGCATTTACTGTACCTTGGCTGTAACAAGTGGTTATTTGAGTTACTGTTGCCTTTTTATCATCTTGAACCAGTCTGTTCATTCTCCTCTGACCTCTGACATCAACAAGGCATTTTTGTCCACATAATTGCCGCTCACTGGATATTTTTATTTTTCAGACCATTCACTGTAAACGCTAGAGATGGCTGTGCGTGAAAATCCCAGTAGCTCAGCAGTTTTTTAAATACTCAGACCAGCCCGTCTGGCACCAACAACCATGCCACGTTCAAAGAGACTTAAATCCCCTTTCTTCCCCATTCTGATGCTTCATTTGAACTTCAGCAAGTCATCTTCACAACATCTACATGCCTAAATGCATTGAGTTGCTGCTATGTAATTGGCTGATTAGCAATTTGTGTTACCAAACAATTGAACAGGTGTACCTAATAAATTGGCTGGTGAGTGTATGTCTCTCTGTATTATATAATATTTAGATGTAATTTTTGTTTGTTTGTTTTTTTTACTTTTTGTCAATAACCACATTAAGCAGTGATTTATGTAGTAAACCAGAGTGCTTGTTTCATGAACATCTTTAATGCCACCCAGGTTCCAAAACCCTTGTAAAGGAGGACTTTACAACTTCTGAAATATGCTGATTGTAACATGCTTGTCATCTTAACTAACAAATTTGGAGATCTGAGCTCTACCACAATTGATGTGACATTAACATTACTTCTCTAAACATCTGGATTCCTCCCAGGGTGCTCCCAGAGGCCCCCTGATGTACGTGTGATGCCTTAGCCAGAACTTAGCCAGAATTGTGCTCAATGAATCAATCCCTGCCCCATTATACTGAACTAAAACAGATTAAGAATCAACTTTATTTATACCCCTCAAAAGTTTTAAAGGAGAAGTACAGCCAAAGCTTTTTTTGGCTATACTTCTCCTGTGGATCACAGGAGCGCAGTTCATTCTGCACTGACAGAGGGCTGAAAACTACTGTCAGCTGATGTCACTCAACTGGTCCAGGACAGGGAAAGACTGACTTTAAAGTAAGGATCCATTCCAGAGTCTGGAGGGGCACCTGGCTCAGCCTCTCAGCGATCTGTTGACAGCCTGAGCCAGCTACTCCCACCCCCTCCACAGCTTTGCGCTCCAGTGAGCACTGGGGGGGGGGGCAAAGCAGACAGCGGTGACTGACAGTCACTGCTCTCTGCTCAGAGTGGCTGTGAAAACTCAGTGTCATGTCATCTCTGAGTTCTCACCCTTAGAGCTGGCGGGAGGCAGATGTATCATCAGACCAATGCTGCATCCACCTAGGTAAGTATGATTTTTAAAATAAAATGAATTCCCATACTTCTCTTTTAAACTTGCTGTCTGTGTCCCTGTTAGAAAAGTTACTAAATGTATTTTTTTTTCATGGTGACCATTGTCACTGGGGTTGAAAGTGAGGTAAGAATCAACACTGAGTTAAGATCAGGAAGAGAAGGGAAATATTTAACTGGGGACACTTCTTCTGGTACAAGAGGAGAATTACCTTACTTTGGACCAATTTCATGTCACTTTCTGCTGTGTCTCTGAGACAGGAAATGAAGAGATGTACACTAAATGGGACACAGATAACCTGGAACAAGCAAGCGATCACTGAAGTCAGATTTCAGGCCTGTGACTCAGAAAATATTGGAAACAATGGATTATCATGGAACCAAAGTATTGAACCATTGGATTATCATGTCAGTTAGTCAACCTACATTTTTAGTTTTGGTAGGAGGAAAGGTCAGCTATTCTAGCTTAACTCCTTAGTACAAGTTTTCCCTAGTGCCCTAAAATTAATACATGCATCTTCATTTTTTTAGTTGTCTAATTGTTTCAGTTGAAAAATGTGGGCATGATCATCACCCTGGTAACAACCCAAAATATCAGATTACATTGCTTAAGGGCCGGCTCACACCACGATTTCTGCATTCTGGATGTATTTCTGCATACTCATTTTTGATGCGTTTTTTATGTGTTCTGGTGCATTTAGCCTTCTTTTTTTTTCCATAATAAATTTTTATTTGGTTTTACAAATATAGTTACAACAACAAAAAAAACAAAAAACAAAAGTAGGACAGTGAAAAGCTACACAATATCACAGTATAGGTGTTGTGGTAATGTTTAACAACGAGAAAAAAGGAAATATTGAATAATTCCTAACATTTCTACTAGTTCCATGAAATAATCATTTTAGAGTATCCAAAAAAAGGTTAAACATAATAATATCTTAGGTTACAGTTCTGAACCAGTCGGACCAGGGTTTCCAAGCTTTGTCAAATTTAGTAATTCTATCGTTTAGGTAAGCTAAAGATTTCTCATAGATGAAGTGTGTCTGGACTAGCTCAATGACTTCTTTTAGACAACAGGCTAAGTCTTTTTTTCAGTGTCTAGTAATGGTAAGTCTTGATGCTAGAAGAATATGTGTCACTAAGAGTTGATAATGGATTGGATATGAATCTATATTTATATTCAAAATAGCTTGGGTAGGGTCTGATTGTTTAAATATCCCAGTAATTTCCGATATCATGTGGAAGACTTTATACCAATAGCTTCTAATATTTTTTTACATGTCCATAATAATATGTAATAGAGTACAAATCTGACTACAGTTTCTCCAGCATTGAGGTCTATGTTGTTCTGAGAATTTGGCCATTTGGTAAGGAGTTAGATATCATCTTGTGGAAATATTGTGCTTTAGCTCCCAAAGGTTAACACATCTAGTAGCTGAAAACACATTCCTGAATGCACATTTCCAGTGCTCATTAGAGATTTCAGTCTCTAAGTCTTTTTCCCACTTGTTTAAAGGAATAATCTTATTAAATTCTGATTTATATTGTAGAAGGTTATAAAATAGAGTTATACCACCTGATTTAAGATTAACGGAGCTATAGAACTGTAAAGATACTTTGGGTATATATATTGTTTTTACTGGATGTTTCGATAGGCAACGACTGTTGCGTGTATAGCTTGATTTTTCAGAAGGGAGGAGGTTAATTTCTTTCATAAGGAATTAAAAATGTTTTTATGTTGTTTTTAACACAAATATCTTGTATTGTGCATATGCCATTATGTTTCCAATTCGAGATATCTGTGCTAGGTATTACAACTTCTAAGGCTGTTATAGGTAAAAGAAGAGTACTTATTCGGAGAGGATCTATAGGCATGGAGCTTAAGGATTTCCAGGCTTCAATTGAGGCACGTATAGTTGGTGTTGTTTTACTAGTGGGAATCCTTTGCCACTAGCTCGCTAGCAGTATGGCGCTTAAATCTGTAGGAAAGGCTAGAGTTTTTTCAATGTCACCACCCCATTTTGTATCATCTTCCACTATAAACCAATGTTTAAGTTGGTCTAATAATGATGCTTTGTGAATCCTTCTTTTTTTTTCTTCATCTCAATTGAGGACATGTGATCCAGAGCATTTTGATGCACTTTGCTGCATTGCAGATGCGTTCCAGATAGAAAAAATGAAACATGTTCTACTTTTGTTGATTGCACTGGAACATACTGCACTGGTGTGAACTGCTGCCATTAGAAACCATGGTAAAAACTGTCCATTCATTTTTGATGCATCTGGTGTGAATGATCTCTGAGATCTAACACTGACATGATTTATGTTTAGCGCAGTCAATACTTTTGTGATTGTTAAATTCTCTGTTCTTTCTTTCAGCATTTTTCCCTTTTTGTATTGCAATCCATTTCTGTTTATGCATTGCTAGGTCCCTAATGCAAAGTGTTAGTAATTTTCCAGCTGTTCCTTCTATACTCAATGCTACTTTTGTAAGATGTTGGTTACAATGGTTAAAATAAAACCCACACAGTGCCCCTAAATATGAAATATCCTATGAAAAATGTATACTTGTATAATTAAAAATGTAGCTGTGCAGAATG